ACTACAACAACACAGGGAAACTACTATCACCTTTTTATGCATCTGACAATTGGGAATGTTTATTAGACCTTTTATTCACAACTCACAAGCGGACATGTATGGCATGATCCTGCTTCCTATTGACGTACTAAGTATGCTAAAGCCCATAGGGCAAAAATTCAAAAAAAAGCCCATAGGGCATAGACGATGTAATTTCTCATAGGAGCCTTTCGGTTTGTGATTGCCATTAAAGCTGACTTGCACATGCACTGCTAAAAGTTAAATGCATACTGTTAATTTAATTCAAAATGCACACTAAAAAGAAAGATAATTCTTCTAATCGTATAAGAATCAAGTCATTTAGTTTTTCACCCAGAGCTAAATTACTGAATTTAGGAACTGATCAAAATGTAGTACCCAAACTCCCAATGGTGTCATTTGTTGCATTCCTATTTCAGAGGAGTTGACATACAAACAGTGTTGAAAGCATATTTTTTTTAAAGGATTTGGTGCAGGCACACAGAAAATTATTATTAGCTTGTGATTCACAACATCAAAACGACACGGTCAAGCACAATCAGGTCCTTGAAGAACTAACATGAACAGGGGGGTCAGGATTGTGGCACCGTACTTACTCCTATAAAAGTGGACTTTGAAACAGAGCTCACGAACTAAGCTCTGACGATGAATAGTCCTCAAACTTTATTATAAGAACAATTATTTGTCAGACTCAACTGCAGTTCATTGTTGTGCTTTCGTCTTCCACATCTGACACATACTCATCAACTTCCAATGGGCATAGCACACATTACTTGCATATCAACCAGAAGAGGAGCACACACTACTTGCATCTTAATGAGCAGAGAAGATGTACCCAAATTTTAACTAGGAGAGGAATGCACAATTAAAAAGAGATGATGAAGGCGCAATAATCAATCCTGTCGTGGTCAGGAGAGGGATGCCAAGGCGTCGCTTTGGGGGAAGGCATCAGCCACCTTCTGCAGTGGAGGGTTGGGCGGTGGCGTCGAACAGCGCTAAGACGCCGGGGAAGGGGCACGGAGGCGGTGTGCCTTGCGCCCTTGGGCTCGCGCTCGCGCGTGAGGTGCCGCGGGCATGTAGGTGGGAAGCGGCGGGAAGGATAAGAGGAGAGGGGATGAGTGCATTACTGAACTTTCAGCATCCAAGTTGAGGTGGCCGAGGCCGAGCAGCTCCGTCGAGCCCAAGTTGGCTCCCGCGCATGCGTAGACGCCGGGCCGTCACACCAGCTGAGGCACCGAGCCGAGCCGGTGACCCATGGATGCGGAGGCGCATGGAGGCGCGTGGAGGACGTCTCCAAGGTGGAGGATCGAAGGAGAGAGGTTAGGGGGAGCCGCGCCGGTGAGAGAGAGAGAGAGAGGAATCGGCGGAGAGTGGTGGCAGGGAGAAAAACTTTTTTCTTTACAAATCTGCTTCGGTGCGTGATATTTACACGGAGGAAGTACAGATAAGGTGGAGGTGGGTTGAGGGAGGTTAGCTCTCCGTGGGACGTGGGAGGTGGGAACACAGCCAACAACACATTTTATCATATCGTTGGAAGACATGCGTTGCTATACGGGGGTTTCTGTTGTAGTGTCGAAACATACCCCGTTAATAGCATGGTAATTCACATACCACTGACTTGGTAACTTACATAAAAACACTTGATAACTTCCATCCGAAAAAAATTAAAAACATACTCATGGTAAATTTTTGTGTAAATACCATAGCATGCCATGCCAGCCCGCAAGCCTCCAAACAGTTAAGTACCA